AGCAGCGGTGCCGGGGCAGGTCCGGGCGCCCAAGTGCCTAAACTGCTGACGTCGGCCATCGCGGAAGACTTCGGCGGGGCCTTCAGGTTGCGATGCAGCTCGCCCAGCTCACCTCTGATGAGGGCCTCTTGTAACAGCAGCAACTTGGCCAAGCATGTGGGACGGATGCGGTTGAGCTGCTGTGCAGCGCGTGAACAACTCAGCCTTCGGGATAGGTATGCCCCTGAGGATGGCCGTGTGCTGCTTGTACTTCGTGGCAGCCGCCTGCCAGGAGTCCATGATAGACGCACCCAGCCCCAGTACGAAGCTAAGGTACTTGACTTTCGATGTGATGGCGGAGTCGATCCAGACTAGGGCATATGCCCAGAGTGCCCCACGAACTGCGTCGAGGGCAGCCGGCAAGTCCGCCACAGCCGTCCTCAGTGGCACCAGGTCGCGCTTCCGCGCATGTAGTTTCAGGCATGCGAGGCGCGCCATGGCGCAGAAGTGAGGCTGGATTAAGCTGAGGAGGCAGATGTCCAACAGAACGACGCCGACGTCGTCGGCGCAAGCCCCGAATTCGGCGTCTCGGCCAGGACCGAGAAGTGGCTCGTCGCGGGGAGGGCGGCTGGCCAGCGAGCGCGCGGGGAGGGCCAGGGCACCGGCGAGCGCCTCCACGAAGGGCGCCGTGGCAAGGGCCCAGAGGGTGCCCCAGAGGGGGCAGCCCTGGGCAACGCCCGTGAGCACGAGGCTCATGTGGTAGGCCTGCGAGCCGATGCGGGTCCAGCAGTGCTGCCCATCGCAAGAGCCCTGATCAGGTAGAGGGAAGGCTTCGGGACTCCGAGCTGGCAGAGCGCCGCGAAGGGTCACCCCCAAGGCGAGGCTCGGGAATGCCGCGGCCACGTCCAAGGAGAGCAGGCGCGGCCAACGGCGCACAAGCACCTCGTCGGAGTCGAGCGTGGCGACCCTCGCCTTGGGCGTCGAGGCGCCACACGTTCTCCAGGATGCTACGCCCGTAGACGACGCCGCGCCGGGCGCTCTCCGCGACCACCGGCAGGCACCGGTTGGCCGCAGATGCCACCCGCTTCGCGTCGGAGTTCCTGAGGACCCTCGGCCTCGTCTCGGCGGGCTCCCTCGCTGCCTGCACAGCCGACGCGGAATCGTTGGCTCTCGGTGCGCATCGGAGCCGTGATGCGTCCAGACCCCGCTGGGGGCGTGGCACCGCCCACGAGGGCAAGCGAGGCCGCGCGAAGGCGCTGGGCGGCACCGGGGACACGCGCCCACGCCGAGCAGGGGCTGCCGTCGGGGCCATAGGGGTCGTGGGGCAGGCGCAGCGGGCCGCCCTTTTCTACATCCTCGACCTGCGGCAGCGGCAGCTGGAGGTCGGGGAGCTGGAGGGAAGTGACACTGCAGGTACTTGTGGACCTCGTCCAGGGGAGCCTCTTTTGAATATCGTGTAACCGATCCCCATCCCCAGCGGCGTGGCCTGGGCCCCGCTGGCCGATTTTGCCCCCCTAGAGATAGGGATAGAGGTCGTTCCCTCCGGGTTTCGAAGGGGTGCATCCCCCACTGAGGGGGGGGGGAATTGGGCCTCGGAGGCCCCGGTCGCCCGAGCCATCCTCGGAGAACAAACCCGGGCCCCAAACCCGTGCGGCGACCCCAGAATCCCCACCGACTCACCACACGGTGTGGTCACCACCCCGTTTGGGGGCCCCGAATGGCCAGTGGGGTCTGTGGATGGGGATGGGGGTCTGTGGATGGGGATGGGAAATTGGGAATTGGGTGGGAATTGGGTGGGGTGGGGTCTGGGTGGGGGAATTGGGTGGGGTCTGTGGATGGGGATGGGGATGGGGGTCGGTGAAGCGACGCTGACCTTTGGCTGCGAAGATCGGCCCCGAACGGCCGGTGGTCTCGCCGGGCCGCGGCCGTCCCGGCGGGGCCGCCGCTCGGCTGCGGGGCCGCGGGCGGCACGGCAGCGCTCGGCCCGCGGGCGCCGCCCGCGGCCTGGCGGGCCTCGGGCCGGGGAGTTCCTGCCAGGATCAGGTCGGGCGCGTCCCCCTATGCATGCGGATTTTGGGCGACAAATAAAACAAACTCCAAACATATGCAAACTTAGTCCCAAGCCATTTTTTGCCTATGTTTGAATATTCCTCCTTGAATACCGCGGGCGCAGCGCAGCATGGTGGGCCTCGGGCCGGGGAGTTCCTGCCAGGATTACGTCGGGCGTGTCCCCCGACAGGCGGATTTTGGACGACACACAAAAAAGACTCAAAACATAAGCAAACATAGCAAAAAGTAGTAGAAACATCGTCACCATACTATTCTCTGGCTATGCTTGAAGATTCCTACTGCAGAGGGACAGGCCCGCCTTCATGCCAGGATCTGGGCGCTCTTGAAGGGTCGCCAGAGCTGGGCTGTCTCGGCAGCTCGCGCCGCCCCGCCTTTCCAGAAGGCGCCGCATGCCTATGCGGAGGCCGCGATGAAGGTCGTCGGCATCGGCGCAGAGTTCACCAGCGTGCTGAGCGTTCGGGTGTTTTCGCGCCAATGGGCCAATGAGCTCTGCCAACGGCGCAGAGGACCAGCAAGCGCGCGTCGGGGTAGGACGCGTGCGTGCTTAGGTCAGGCTCCGGAGTCAGAACGTTCCGCGTGGGGCTGGCGACTGAGATGTTGGCCTTCGTGACCTTCCAAGCCTGAATCGAGTCGTCGTTGGGCATCCTGGAGGAAGCCACCACCTTCGCGAACGCGAAGGCGATCAGAGGCCCTTTGCAAATCCAATCAGGAATGGGGCGATCCTGCCGTACTGGGACTGCGGCACCGCCGGATTGCAGCATGACGATGCCGTGGTCACTAAGCCTTCGACCCGACAATGTCGCGGAGTCCGAGGCGAGGTAGGCGCGCAAGGAGATGCCGTACGCAGCCTCCGGCGGCAGCGATACGTGCAACCTGTCCAGGGTCGACGATTTCAGCCGATGCACGTCGTAGTGCATGGGAGAGTCGGTCTTCACTTGAAGAAAACAGCCCAACAACTGATGCTAGTACCGCGGCACGGCTTGGTCCCGTCGGGTCTCACGGCGCGGGGTCTGCCGCGGGTCCGCGTAGGCTAAATGGGCGCCGTCATCGAAGTTCAGGTCGCCGCCAACTGCCACCAGCCGCAGATGCGGCGCAGCGGAGGCCCAGCGACGATACGCCGTCCCTTAAGGCGGCGGCGGTTTCCCGGTGTGAGGCCGTAGTTTCTTGATGTTCAGCAGCGTGACCGCTGGGGGGACGCCAGGAGGGCAGCCGCGAAGCGGCAGCAGTTCTGAGGCGCAGGAGGTGCGGTGACCTTCTAGAGCTCCAGGGCCGCCCATGAGGGTCACCGACCTCGTGCCCTCCGGTGATGAAGAGGTACTTGTGGAATCTGGTGCGCTCGTGCTGGAAGAGCTAGGAGATGTGAACGAAGCCGCAGAACAAGCGGAAGGACCCGTACCCTCTAGCCCGTCTCAGAAATCCGAGCGCTCAGGACTCGCCGGCAGCAGGAGGAGGAGGAGGAGGAGGAGGAGGAGGAGGAGGAGGTGTCCCCCTTTCCCCCTCCCCTGGGGAGGAGGAGGAGGAGGAGGAGGAAGAGGAGGAGGAGGAGGAGCGCCAGTACCATGATGGGTTCGATGTCTCACGCTACTCAACGCTGGGCTGCTGGTTCCAGCCATCTGTAAGGCCGACCAGCCGAGCAACGTTAGAGGCGAAGGTGAAGCCGAGAATTTTTGCTGGGCATTTTTAGCTCGTGCAGCTTTCACTACGCCAAGTTGCTGCGGTAGCGTGAGGGGCGATCCATCTTGCGTCGCGGCCACTCCCTTAGCAGTGTGGTAGGAATAGACACTAAAAGTGGTGGCGAAAATAGCATTTTCACGCGCGAGGTCACATGCAGGAGATTGGACAGGGAGCAGGAGGACGAGGACGAGGAGGAGGAGGAGGAGGAGGCTGCTGGTGACGGGCCTAAAGCCATGCAGTCCATGATGTCAGCCGAAACCATCGGCGCCCGAGCCAGGCTCGCCTTCCTCGTCTGGCGAAGCTCGGGTCGTGGCCTCCCCCCGAGCCTTCACCCATGGGGAGGTCGGCCCCTTCGAGGCCCAACGGAGACAAAACCGGGTCGCGCGAGGCACCGGCGCAGTGGTTTTTGTTTTCCACAGCGTGGCCGCCCGGAAGTCTGGAGTCTGGAGGCCTCCCACGGGAGACCGGCTCGTCGCCCCCGAGTGGCCTTGCTGACGGCCCCAGGCCAGAACGCCAGAAGACTTCCCGGAAGGGGCCCAGGGACACGCAAACACATGTACACAAGTCCCAGGGTTCCCCATACTTCTCCATACCTTCTGGGGGTTCGTCTTCCCCTCCGCTTCCCATATTTCCCCACATTTTCCTGGGCATCGATCTGTACTTGTGTCTGTGACATCATTGAAGCGCGACCAGACCTGTCACCGCGCCATTTGTTCTCGACTCGACGCGCCCAAATGGACGACGCCGACACCACGCCAAAACCGCGACAGGCCCTGCGCCACGCGCCCAAGGAGACGCAGCCGGCGCCGCGGGAACCCCCACGGCAAGCCCTGCTCCCGAGGCGGAGTTTGCCCTGGTGCCCGCGGCGCCATCCCCAAGACACGAGGCCACGCGTCGGAACAAACGGCGCGGCGACGAATGCATACACAGGAAACCTCGGGCGTGCCCCGAAGCTTTGCTGTTGAGGGCAACGTCGGAGCACACTCGCTCACGGCGCCAAGCTGAGGGTTCTCCCACCAGCCCAGTCTTAGGTCGGGCATGTCCCCCTACAGACGGATTTTGAGGGGAAATGAAAAATACCAGACAAATAGTTACAGATAGTCAAAAATTGTAAAGCAATCGTCCCCATACAATTTTTTTGTACAATTTTTGCATATTCCCCCTGTAAAGGGACAAGCCCGATTTACGCCCAGTCCAATGCAGCCGTGCGTCCCCGACGCGGGCATGTCGGGGCACACTGCGCAGGTGGTGCCCTCCGCCGAGGCGCCGCCCGAGGC